CACAAGCCTTAGGGACAAACAAAATACACAATGTTAATCAATGCTATTGACTGATGATGCTTATTCAAAACTTAAACACGTAGAAAAGAAAATGAAATGCCCTTTAACTTTAAAATCAACCATTAATCATTGACAATAACAATGGTAATAACATAGAACTTTTACAGGTTGGATTATAAACAAGTGGACATTAAGAATCTTAGAATAACATCAAATACTTAAAGCTCAAATTATGGCTACTAAAATCTAGATAAATTGAGCTGATGATATCCAACTGGTAGATGACAAATCCTACAAACCAAGCTTTACATTTCATTACCATTATGTACTTAGTAAAATTAGACCCATAAAGGTATCTTCATTTTTTTTCCCAAAAGTTTATATAATGTTACCAACGATCTAATTTGTGCCTGTACTCTTTTTTCACCTCTGTTCTTTTTCATAGACAAGCGACTGCATTCATAGTAGTTATTTTCAGACTATAATTATAGGTGGTCCGTCAAGTAGACCAACTGGTTGGATACTCTGACATCTCTTATGTTTCCATAAAGTCTATTCTACTTGTTTCCTTCTAGAGTTTCTAAGGTCTCCCTAACTGCTGAGCTGACACTCAGCTCTGCTACTGCAGGTGGAATGAGGAGGGCCTGTCCAGAGACCTTGGGAGACCTCTCAAGTGGGACTAAGAATCAAAATCTTTTATGTTTGAGTCTGTCTGGCCAACTAATATAACTCAAGTCTGGCATGAATTTATTTCTAGGAGATGCAACAAATTCCAAACCTGATGATCATTTAGCTGTTTCAATAAAGTAAATTTTGTCATTATTGTTACTTGATATTAGGGCTTATTAGTCTCAACAGGAGCATGATGAAAAACTATGTATGTTCAGACAATTTTTTTTTTAAGAGAGGAAGAGGGGGTGAGGGGGCAGAGGGAGAGGGAGAGAGAATCTCAAACAGGCTCCCAGCTGAGTTTGGAGCCCAATATGGGGCTCAATCTGATGACACGAAGATCATGACCTGAGTTAGATGCTTAATGGACTGAACTGGTGCCCATGTGCCCCTGTTCAGACAATTTTCATACAAATACTCTGAACTGGTAAAAGTATAAACTAGAGAATTTTATGGTAAGGAAATAAAGCATTATTTATTTTCAGATATCCAAAACAAATGGCTAAGATCATGTTCCTAAATTAAGAAAAAAAGACTGCTATAATTAGCAGATTTCATGCACCTTGATTCTAATAGGTATTAAAAGCCATTAATGAGTCTTTTTTTTTTTTTGAGGTTTTATTTATTTATTCATGATAGACAGAGAGAGGGAGAGAAAGAGAGAGGCAGAGACACAGGCAGAAAGAGAAGCAGAACCCCCCATTAATGAGTCTTAATAGATTATAGAAATAAGGTGCAGAGGACTGTTTAATTTGCTTGCCAAGAATTTTTTTCATTAAAAAAAGGAACATGGGGATCCCTGGGTGGCGCAGCGGTTTGGCGCCTGCCTTTGGCCCAGGGCGCGATCCTGGAGACCCGGGATCGAATCTCACGTCAGGCTCCCGGTGCATGGAGCCTGCTTCTCCCTCTGCCTGTGTCTCTGCCTCTCTCTCTCTATGACTATTGTAAATAAAAAAAAAAAAAAAAAAAAAAAAAAGGAACATGGATTAGTCTTGCACTACCCAAAGCATCATGAATCACAGAACCCAAGGTACAACTTTACATGGTTCATTAATCATAGAATTTTCTGCTCGTAGGACTCCTAGAGTTGTATCTAATCTAACCTCCTCATTTTACAGATGAGGAAACTAAGGTCTAGAAAATTAACATGACTTATTCCCAAAAATAAGGCTAACCAGTAAGCAGATCTTAACTCTGCTCCATCCTCTTACTAGAGGAGTTCCCAGTACAGATAAATCAACCTATCTCAAAGTGCCCTCCTGTAAAAGATGCTTACAATTAGTTCATTTCGATTATAGAACACACAAGCCTCTTTTGGTTTTGTTTTCTATTTAACATGAACAAAAGATGTCCTAACTACCTACATAAAACAGATATCTGAGGGAGAAATGAGAAGACCCGCTGAGTTTAATGTAAAAAGTCAACATGAAATCCTTGTACAGATACTGGAGGATGCTTGTTTTTCCAACAAACATGAGGCATGCTGCCTGAGAGTGAAATCTCCTACTAAGGATTTCTCTGCATTGTTCAAGAGGCATACACTTGCCAGACACACAGGTCTGATAGGAAAAGGCTTTCAGGTAAGCCTTGCTTAAATGAGGCAAAGGCTAAGTCAACTCCATGTTTATTTTATTAGAAAGAATAGGGAGGAAAACAGGGTCATTTCCCTGGCACAGCTAAAAAATCGAGTCCTGAATCAAAAAGACTTGACACAGTAAACTAGATAATTTGCTAATTTGCTAAGAAGACCACTAAGCAAAGGGGAGGGGAAGGAATCTATAAAACCAATTAAAAGGAACTTGTCAAGTTTTTACTATTATATGTATGACAGCTTTTAACTGTTTTGACAAGTTTGGAAAATTGGCCTTATTATGTCTACTTAAGAAGAAACACAAGTAGGAAGCATCATAAAATTTTAAGCAGGGAAGTGATTGGTCAGGTTTGAATTTTGACAAAGAAGAGGAAGAAGTCCAACAAGAGTGCCTATTTAGAGCGAGAGTTAGGCCTAAGTAAGCTCCTAAACCTTCTCCATCACCAAGATTCTGTCTTTCGACATGTCTAAGATGACTCATTATGTCTACTTAGGAAGCAGCTAAAGGGATATAGACAAGGTTTCCTAGCTACTAAGTGGTGAGGCTGCAGTTCAAACCCAAGGTTCCATTCTCCCACTTCTGCTTTACACCACACAGCCTCCAGATGGTCATGGTTAGGGAGCATGAAATTGTTCCTCTAGGTGCACCTATAAGCCCTTCTAGTTCTCAATTCCAATGATTAGAAAAAGAATGGACACAAAACAGAAGATATAGTTTCTGCATGGGAAGAATTGTTACAGGTAACAATTTTTATATCATCATCCTTTTCCAAAGAAACACAGATACCAGCCAGTAATGGATAAGCATATCCTTTATGGTGAGCAGTACCAGGAAATAGTGCTACACTGTATTTAACTTGCTCTTCCTGTGACTTCTAGGTCACCTCATTGTTGTAAAGGCATGCATGTTTCAGCAACTTCATGTGAGAATTCAACCAAAGCCTGAAATAGACTGAGAGGAGAAGTTTCCGGGTTTTACTACAACACAAAGTGGAATCCTATGGATATTTCAGGTTACAGTGGGTCTGTCACAACACAGTGCATAATGTGCAGCAACTTCAGCTCTTAGGTAATCTGAGCAGGGACATTCCCTCTTCTGCAGATTTAGTCACCTCATCTCTTACCCAAAATAATCATTCAGAGGTGCTCCATTCACTATCCCCCCACTTATACTAGGGTAACTTTCCATGATCTCATCTACCTGCGGCACTACCAGGAATTAGAAAGTAAGCAAGAGAGGCTGGTGGAAGGCCAAAATAAACACCCTACTGTTTATTCAATTCAACCCAGGAAGAATTTATTGAGTACACTATTCATCAGGCACTGTGGGCTGATGCTGGGGCTGATAGTGACGATGCTAGGGCTAATAATAAGAATAATAATTATAGTGGTAGCCATCATATACTGAATGCCCAGCACGTGCCAGGCACTGCTATAAATACTTAAATTCATTTGATCCTCTGAATAACCCTACGTAGTAGCTCCTATTGTCATCTATATTTTTGTAACAGGGAAATTGAGGAATGGAGTGGTTAAGTAGCTTGCCCAGAGTCACAGCTAATAAATGGTGGATGCAAACCAGACAGTCTGGCTTCTGAGTCTATACCACTAGTGGCTACCCTACACTGCACTCTAAATATGAGTGGGGATAAGGGACACAGGTCAATAAGACTATTCCAACACCTAGAGCCTATAGCCCAATTGGGAAGACAGGCAAATAAACCTTTGAGGAGCACATAAACCAACCGAGAATTCAGGGAAGGCTCCTGGCTGTAGATGGCCTATCAGATGAAACTAGGAAGGAGCTAATCAGAAGGAGACATGGGGTATGGGGTACATTCCAGGGGAGAGAGTAGCTCTGTACAGGCAGAAGTTTGGCATTCATTGAGATAAGGAACACCAAAAGAGGAGCAGGTTTTAGATATGGAGAAAGATCTATCCCCAAAGAAGTCTTAGGCACCCATCTTGGAGGAAACACATCTAATGAAGAAATCTAACTTCTTTCCTTAAGGATTGTTAACAACAATGAGGTTTTGATCGGTCTTTCCAACCGATGAGTGATTAGAAGCTGAAAATTCAGAGGAAAGGCTTTGTGCCCAGGAAACAAGTAGGAGGGAGAGAGAAGGTGGAAAAAATAAAGAAAAGAGACAGACACCTTGGGAATACAAAGAATATACCAAAGGGCCCTTCCCATCTCAAATGAGTAATCACACTACACTGTAAGAATGGGTTATAAGATGAACCTAATCACCCAGAAAAGGTTAATCTGTGCTCTGTATGCTCTGTTTTAGTAAGTAGGGAAATAAGAAATGGATTTTAGAGAGGGACTAAGAGAAAGAGTTCAAACAAAAAGTTGTGTTGCAAGAGCTTCTATGATTTAGAAGATTCACTTAATGTGGGGAAAAAACCTCATTCACCATCATGATGGATAAAACATGCAACAGAGTCCATGTCTCTTTTCAGAAGAGACATGCTTCGGTGATCAACACAGGCTTTCACCAAGGTAAGTTGTCCCGCCTCAAAGCCAGCATGCTATGTTCCCCTTTGTCACCTTTAGAAGACCTAACTGCTCTATGATTGTTGGAGAGCTTTATGGTTGATTTTGTTCAAAGTGACATTAAGCTGGCTCTCATTTGAAGGCCATATATTGCTCCCCTGATAATTACTTCAAAAATTCTAATAGAAAAAAAGAAAACCATTGCCAGGCACAGAATGAATCAGTGTAAAATACATTCCTTACCTGTCTCTTATTATGACTTCACCGCAGGACTGGCAATAAAATGTGCAACATTCTTGGGCTTGTGAGCTCTGATTAAACATTGAAACCAGTTCTAAAGAGAAATCAATGAAATAGCAAATCTTAGAGGTGTGGGACAAATATATTAACATACTTAAAGAGTTTAACAGCCACAATAAATTACTATTAATAAACACTGTTTACAATCCACCCAGAAGTACACATTTAATTAGCATTATCTGATGACTCAACTAGAAGCAAATATTATGACGTGCTCTCAAAACAACAGATTTTTCTAAGTGTTTCAGAGCTAGGTATTGCCCTAGATTATCCCTGTTACATACCACTGAGTTATTTCACTCATTCCATAAATACCAACGCTAAGGATGGGAGAAAGATAGTAATTACTTTCACATCAAGCTAACTACAAGGGGCCTGGCCTCACCATCCTCAGGTTTCCTCTGCTCTGTCTTAGGTACAGCTTTTCATCAGTGTGATTGCTGCTCTTATCTCTTAAATTTAAGTTTAATTTGATTTAAATTACATACAAACAGAAAGAATCTCGAAATTGGTCTTTATTGGGCAGGTTCCTGGGAATGCAATGGTTTCTAAGAATTCAAACTTCCAAGAGCAAAACTCAATTTTGATTAAAGCTGTGGAAAAATGTATATTTTCCACATTATGTGAAGTGCAGCATTCCCTTAGTTTCCATTATATCATTCATGAAGAAAGGAAACTTTCATTCCCCCCCCCCAAAAAAAACCAAAACAAAAACCCACACACAAAAATATCAGTCTGTATAAAAAAAGAAAAGTAATGAGGTCATACTCATTTCAAGCAATTTGAACTTGGTTCGTGTCACTTTGTATGTATGTTAAGATTTTAAAAACTGATGGTAGAAAATTTAAGCCTTGGCAATTAAAAATTCATCCTTTTAATTTCTAGGGGTCTCTGCCAACCCCTGTAGCACTAAGGTGAAGTAAACAGTATTCTTTAATTTTGAGCAGATAATAAGTAGACCTGGTAAGTCAACCAAAACAGTCTCTTCAGAACCAAAAAACAAATTTTCAGTGAAACACTCCCCCCTACCGGTCACCCAGCACGATCCACTGGCTTAGGTTCAAGACAGAACTTCCTGACAAGGTGGCAGTGTGAGAGAGCACTGCCACCTGGGGACGAATCTAATGCTTGTGCTGCCATCAGATTTCATTGTAGTCAGTTTCATGTCAAGGGTCCAGCCTGATCTGACCTATGTTAAACTCAGGGGAGAGTAAAACAATATGTTTACTGTAGTCCTTGAAAGAACATTTATAGTTGCAAAGTCAACTTTTTAAAAACCTCAAGACACAATTGAATGTGCTAAAAATGTCGTCACTTCTACACTACATTTTGACTCCAGTCAACATTAGTATGCATCTATCTGGTATTTATTCATTTAGCAGATATCTATTCATCACCTATTATGTGGAAAGCTATTAAGTACTGAGATCTATTTTGCATACTCTTTTCATGCACTGCAGAGCAGGGCTATAAAAGTATTCCTTTTCAGATATTTGAGTAAAATGTTTTAAAAATGTAAAGCCACAGCAGACCAGTTGAATGCAAGCAATATGCAAACCAACATTCAGCAGTCAACTTTTACCATCCTATAATTACAGCGAAATAATAATGCTTGCTGACTTAAATTTCTTTTAATAGTTCTAGTTTCGCTATTTATTAACAACCTTTACCCAAGTTGGGTAGGCGACAAATCAATTGTTTCTCTAGAAGGCCTTCATACCTCCTTAGTATGGGACCTAAAATCACAAATCCAGAAAACTAGCAGACCTGAAAAATACACCAGTGTGGCTTTTGTGCCTATCTTTGCCCAGTTTCCACAGCTGGTGTATTTCCCATCTTGGTGACCCCATTCTTCTTTCCATGGTTATTATACTAGTCATTCTTAGCATGTGGATACGTCACTTAAGCTCCATGAAATTTCAGTTCCCTATGCCTTGTTCCTAAATACAAATCTTTCCAACTCAAAACTAGCTATTCACTAATTTAGGACTTGGGCAAAAATCACTCTCCAATGAAAAAGCAGCACAAGACTCAAGGGAATATGCCACATCTCCTAAATGGCTCTTCAGAACAATCCTGCTGACCCCACCTTGAGTCTCCAAGCAGCTCAAATGAAAGCCTAAGTAGAGATGAGGCAGGAATGAAGTCTCAATGTGCAGCTGAAAGAATCATAACCCTTCCTTGACAAGGAGCATCTTGTAGGTCTGTTACAGTCTGTTTCCCCTTTCACAACATTTTTAATCCTCTGAAGCCTATTACTTACATGGGAAAAGAGGCATTGAGCCAATAATTTTATTAAATAAGTTATTCTGAGAAACATTTCTACCACCTTACTGAATCAATATGACAATAACAAAATACTAAAAATATAATAGCATAGCAATAATCAAAATCATATTATGCATCAAACTCAATTTCAGAATCTATATATGCTGTTTCACCTGGAAATGTCTCTAAATGGATGGGATCATTTCCATCATTCAGTTCTCTGGTCAAATATCATCTGTCCTCAGAGGGGCCTTCCTTGAGCACCTTTTACCCTAGTCACTCCCTATCCCATTATTCTGCTTTACTTTGACCATAGCACTTTTCTCTGTATCCAAATAACTTATTTGTTCATTTTGTTTCCACCCATGAGAATGTAAGCTCCTTAAAGGCAGAGGCTTTCCTAGCGTGTTCATTTCTGTATCCCTAGCACCTAGATCAAAGCCTAGCTCACAGTGTAAGGCAAAGTTTGTTGAATGGATGAGTTTCTATGCAATGCTTTAAAATCCACCAGGTCATGCACAACTGCCATCTGATTTAATCTTCCTATCAACTCAAGAAGCTATGTAATTTTAAAATTAAAGAAACTAAGCAAGGGTTATATGGGAAAACTCTGGACCTTCAGCTAATTTTGCTGAACCTAAAACTGCTCTAAAAATTAAAATAGATTAGGAAAAAAAAGCACATTAACCACACCCTCCCCCCAATCATGGAACAAAGCTTCAGAAAGGTTAAGTGGCATGCTCAACTGCACAGCTAATAACTCTGGCACAGCTGACAAAGAACCTTTTGACCAGCTCTTTCCATGCTTCTGCTAAACAGACTTTTTCACCTGGGAAAAGGTCAACTTTTCAAAAGAAAAATCATCTTTGATTTACAGCGGAAAACTAAATGCAGGAACGAAACAGGAGGCTGGGATCACTCACTGGCGTTGGATTCTGCTCGCACCTGCAGACGCAGGTGCAGTCCATCTCCAGGGACATACCGCAGCCCACCACAGGAGGATGGCACAAGCCTGACCTCTGCTGGAAGCTGGAGCTCTGTGCAGCCTTCTGGGGTCTTCACCTGGAGTGAGCATGGCGTTATAGAAATATCCATGGACATACCTCCTTCTTTAGGCTCCCTGGTAATTAAAAACAAAACATAAAAAATTACTTCTCCTTGATGGAAACAAAGTGATAAAACAGAGAAAAAAGGCCAAGGACCTCACTGTTCCTCTTCAATAAATGTTCTAAAGTTACTGTCCTAAAAAAATAGTGAATGAATCATAAAGGAAATCATCCTATACTAAATTTAGATCAGGGCAGAGAGTACTTTTCCCTGTCACTGTAACATGAAAGTTCTAGAACATATTTTTATTTTTGCCTTTTTTAATGGTAATTTAAATGTGCGTGTTTCCCTCGTTGCTAATAATGATCTTGAGCCTCAGTTCTCTATCCTTTTTTTATTTTTTTATTTTTATTTTTCCCAGTTCTCTATCCTAACGCATCCTGCAGCTACTCCAACCTGGACCTACCTGGGGTTGCTCTCAGAGTCATTCTGCTCACATAGACCACCTCTCATTTCCTAACGCCCCCTATTTTCTCCCACAAGTTTCCCCACAAGGTTCTTCGAACCAGCACAATCCAATGCTGACCTGTTGTACATCATGCATTTGTTCTCCCAGGGATCCCCTGTTCTCCAAAATATTTTGGTGAGAGGACACAAGGCAGCATAAGATAGTGGTATATCTGTCTTTGCATCTCTTGATCCCAGCGTGGTTTGTACATTCATTCACTCTCTCTCTCTCATTCACTCAATACAACTTTTTAAAGTTCTGTAATGTGCCAGGTACTGGGACTACCATTAACAAGGTATCTTCTCTGCCCCTCATCCCAAGTAGGGCATGGGCAAGTAAACAGGAATGATTAAGAGAGTATTATAAAAACAACCATGCACTGGCAGGGATAGGGCTGGCAGCAGCAGGCCACACTGGCAGGGAATGGGCAGCCCAGCACCCCCGGGACAGGTTCTTCATGATCCAAAATCATAGGACTGCCATCTTCACAGACGCCAAGGAGTAGAGCACCATGTTCAAGCTGAAGTATATCCTTGAGGGCATCCTCAAGTGGCCACCTGATGAGCAGCAGCTGTACAAGGATGACCAGCTTCTTTATGATGGCAAGACACTGGGATAGTGTGGCTTCACCAGTTGGATGGTATGGCCACAGGCCCTGGACACTGTGGGCCTGGGCCTCTGAGAAGCTCTCTCTACTCCCTTTCCACCAGATGAATGGTTCAAGGCCCTGCGCATGGAGCCCTTCTCCAGCCTTCCTGAGCCATCATGAAGCCACAGGACTCAGGAAGCAGTGCCAATGAATAAGCAGTGCAGTGGGAGGCCCTGGGCCCACCTAGTGCCCTATCCCCTCTAAAAGAGATTTGGGTGTCAAAAACAACAACATTGTACTTATTCATGATAAACATAGAGTACTATGGAAATACATGGAGGGCTACAGTGACTATCACAGGTCAAGCATTGTTATTTGAACAATGAATGATGAGTGAGTGAAATATTCTTGCTTCTGAGACTAGCATTACAACGATGCTGCATTTTACTTACAATAAAGTACTGTCATTTGATATACAGGATTTTGATAAGGATAACAGGATTACATGAAACAAAAGATACAGGAGAAAGAAACTTCTTGTCAATTTTAACAATTATTTTTTTTTTCAATTTTAAAAATTGAAAAATATCGGGCAGCCTGAGTATCTTAGTGGTTTAGCGCCACCTTCGGCCCAGGCTGTGGTCCTGGAGACCCGGGATCCAGTCCCACATTGGGCTCCCTGCATGGAGCCTGCTTCTCCCCCTGCCTGTGTCTCTGCCTCTCTCTCTCTCTCTGTCTCTTATGAATAAATAAATTAAATCTAAAATAATAATAATAAAATAAAATAAAACAGTCTAGTGATGTATGAATACCAGATATAACAGAACCAACTAGTCCAATTCACTACAAATAGAAATCACTTGGTAAAGGCAATCGAGAATAAAACACAGTCCATTCCCTGTCCACCAGGCACTGAAAAGTACAACAGCAGATATAGACCTATAGAAATGATCCTCATATGAAGCTAGAATATGCCTAGAATTCTAACAGAGGTGCCAAGCACTCTGCCTTTTAAGTGTAGACAGCAGGGGCAGGCCATTAACTCCACATCACCTACGTACAAAAGTCAGGCCATCTACTTGAGTATTATCTAAGTACAGAGATCCTGTAATCCTCTTAATTTGCTTTAGAAGATCCTAAGACTATTTTCTGGTTAGTTCTTTTTCAAAGCATATGGACTTGTACTTAATTGGCAAGAACCTGAGTCTTTTCCAAGGAATATATCCTTAAACTCTTGAGTCAAAAGTCTAGTTCTTTTTTTTAGAGAGAGATTGTGCATGCGCAAGAGAGCATGAGTGGGGGAAGGGGCAGAGGGAGAGAGAAACAGAATCCTAAGCAGGCTCTATGTTCAGTGTGAAGCTCAATATGGGGCTTAGATCTCATGATCCTGAGACCATGACCTGAGCTGAAATTAAGAGTAAGATGCTTAATGGACTGAGCCACCCAGGCACTCAGAGTCAATAGTTTTAAGAACTGATATTTAAGAAATAATAGTCCTCTAAAGCAGAGGTCAGAAGGACCAAATGGTATATATTTCAGGTTTTGCAGGCCATTTATGGTCTGTTGCATATTATACTATGTATTTTATTTTTAACAATGCTTTAAATAATGTAAAATCCATTCTCATAAGTTGGACCAAAACAAGGCACAGGTTAAATTTGCACATGGGACATAGTTTGCTGAACATTGCTCTAAAGATAAATAATTTGTCCATTTTGCTGCTCAGAGATTTTCAAACTGGATTGTGCCACTGGCACTAGAAGTACCTTAAGGGACATCACTACATTTCTACGCCTCACCCCACCCTATCTCTGGCTTACCACTCTTCTTCCCCTTCATGAAAAATTCAGCCAATTTGAGTGGAGTAAGATAGGCATCAATGCAAGTGTGGGAAAACCACAGTGGCCTGGAGATGTGGAAAACCCAGAAGAGTGAGGAAGGTGGGCATCCACCAGGACAGCCACCCTACAGGGATGTCAGATCTCAAGAGGAAGGAAGAGAAACCTAAATGGGGGAGCGGGGGTGGGCAACTCAGTATAGGGTTTCCAAGCCTGCCCTAGACCGCTCAGGCTGCTATAACAAAACACCAGAGACTAGGAGGCTTAACATACATTTCTTACAGTTCTGATGGCTGAGAAGTAAAACTTCAAGGTACCTAGAGATTTGGTCCTTGTTGAAACCCTCTACCTGGTTGGCAGATGGCCACTTCCTCATTGTAACTTCACATGGCAAAGAGAAGCAGCTTTAGTATTTCCTTTTATAAGGGCACTAATCCCATTATGGTGGCAAAGAGAAGCAGCTTTAGTATTTCCTTTTATAAGGGCACTAATCCCATCATGGTGGCTCCACACTCAAGACCTCATCTAAATCTAATTATCTCCCAAAGGTTCCATCTCCTAATACCATCATATTGGGGATTAGGGCTTCAACATATGAAATTTTGAGGAAACACAAAAATGCATTCCGAAACAGATTCCAAACAGATGAGGAAGGTGTCAACACTGAGGGGAGGTAGGGGAAGAAGCAAAGGATGCCAGCATAAGATTAATTACATAGATGGAAACTGACCAAATAAATGTATGTCATGAGAATAATGAAAGCCAGGATTCTCACTGTGGGAGAACAGAGTTATAAAGTGGGAAAGAGAAAAAATCAGAATGGATCCTATGGTAATAGACTAGAACTGAAAATACCTGTGTGGAGTCATGGTTTTCAATGTATATAAAGAGATATAGTAATACAGATGTGTATATGTGTATGTGTGTAGATGTATAATATACAAACACACATACACATGCATACATTCATACCATACACAAACATTATGCATTTGCCACATACACACTCTAGTTTTGTCTACTAGGGCCTGGAAAAAGTGACAGGTCAATAGTAATGAGGATACTTTATGCTCAGATTCTGGTTTCTAAAGGTCATTTTCCAGTTTTATTCTTAAAAATTTTTTTAAAGGTTTATTTATCTGAGAGAAAGTATGCTAAAAGTGGGGGGAGGGGCAGAGGGAAAGAATCTCAATCAGACCATGCATTGAGCCTGAGTCCAACGTGGGACCCAATCTCATGACTCTGACATCATGACCTGAGCCGAAATCAAGAGTTGGATGCTCAATCAAATCTGTCATCCAGGCACCCTAGTGATTTTCCACTTTAAAACAAATGGACATACACAAAATGATGTTCCTTGAAAAAATAACTACATCCAAGGATGGAACAGGAAAAGAATGAGATGAGACTGGAACATGTTGCTGTGCAAACAAAGAAAAAAATTAAAGAATAATAGGAACATATTTAAAAAGACCACATTACAAAAGAATAATAGAAACATATTAAAATCATCTTGAAGGGACTCCCCCTGGCCACATCTGGTATAAATTTGAGCAAAAAAAGTAACCCAATGAATAGATGATGATCTTGGGTCCATACTGATGTAAATGAATGAATTAAAGCCAGAGTGCCCAGTTTCTGCCTTCTGGAATACAGAGATAGTTTTATCCTGTGCTGCCCTTGTTCTGTAGTTACTCTGATGATAGTCAGTGGGATTCTTGAAGTTTGCAGTATTCTTCTTTCTTGAATGGTTGAGAGAGAATTTGTTTCTTGAAAAAAGGAAAAATATTTTTGCATAAATTGACTCCACTATTGAAAAAGGGATAGTTTGGGGCACCTGGATGGCTCAGTCGGTTAAGGATCTGCCTTTGGCTCAGGTCATGATCCCAGGGTCCTGGGACTGAGCCCTGAGTCAGGCTCCCTGCTCAGTGAGGAGTCAGCTTCTCCCTCTCTGTTCCACCTCCCTCTCCTGCTCTTTCTCTCAAACAAATAAAAATAAAATCTTAAAAAAAGGGATGCTTTAGATTGAACCATTATAGCTTCAGAATCAATCTTTTCCTAAATAAAAATATCAAAACCAAAAAAACTAAGCAAAAAACAAAACAACACTTTATGGTGGAGAAAGCAGACATCATCTTATCTACATGCTCAAAGTTAACATATACTTTAATGAAATAAGCCAAAATCCTGTGATACTTGATAGGAGAACACAGCATCACTTCTGTGATATGCTTGCCAAAGATGTACAACCTGAACCTAATCCTGAGGCAACATGAGACAAACCCAAATGGAAAGATATTCCACACAATAATTAGGCTGTAATCTTAAAAAGTGTCAAGATTATGAAGGCCAAGGAAAACTGAGGAACTCTTCCAATTTTAAGACACTAAGGAAACAAAACAACGACATATAAGGCATGATTCTGAACTGAGTTCTTTTGCTATTATGGGTATTATGTAGATCAGCGGCAAAATTTGAGAGAGGTCTGAGTATAAGATGGTAGTAACGTGTTTCCTGGTTTTGAAGGTTGCATGTTGGTATGTAGAGGAATGTTCCTATTTGTAGGAAATACACAATAATGTATTTAGGAGTAACATTAACTTACTCTCAAGTTTGAGACTGTCCAAAAACAAAGATTTTTGAGACCCTAACTGTCCACACCTTTTATATACTTGTGGCTTTCTTCATTGTGCACACCCTGCTTGAAATTATCCAATGACTTCCTATCTCACTCTGAGTACAAGCTAAAATTCTTTCGACGGCCCATAAGACCCAGTGATATACTGGAGACAGCTGTTAAAATTCCAGGCATTTTCCAAACTAGTTGACATCACTTTGGTAGCTTGACATCATCCATAGTGAAAGTATCTACATCACAGGAATCAGTAAATGTTGCAAATCAGGAAGATTTTTTTGTTAGTTTTATTGGTTTTCTTGGAAAGCAGGTTGTTAAACATTTACTAACATACATCTGTAAGACTATGTGCTCCACCAGGCCACCCACATCTCTCTGAATTTGGCACCCATTCATGCTTGCTGTTCTCTCAGAGGGAAACAGTCTTTCACCAGGTATTATATAGTTCCAAACCTTTCCCCTTTAAGTTTATTACTCAAGTGTTGCTTTCTCATTTGGAATAAGAGGTTGTAATTTTCTCTCCCTATCCCTTTTTGTTTTATTTTTCTATGTATTTATTTTCATTCAAATTCATATATATTTTGGGCACCTGGGTGGCTCAGTTGTTGAGTGTCTGCCTTTGGCTCAGGTCATGGTCTCAGGGTCCTGGGATCAAGTTTCACATCAGGCTCCCTGTGGGGAGCCTGCTTCTCCCTCTGCCTTATGTCTCATGCCTTTCTCTCTCAAGAATAAAATCTTTTTTAAAAAATCATTTATATTTTATTTATTTTGTATGATTTCTGCTCACTTATCACCCACTGCCACCATTATACTATAAGCTCAACGACAGCCAAGAATTTTCATCTTTGTTGCTGTCGTCGTTCATAGCTGGATACCCAGCACTTAGAATCTGAGTTTTTGGGGGTGCCTGGATTGCAGTGGGTTAAGCATTTGCCTTAGGCTCAGGTCATGACCCCAGGGTCCTGGGATTGAGCCCTACATTGGGCTCCCTGTAGGGTAGCCTGCTTCTCCCTCTCCCTCCCCCTGCCCGTGGTTCCTCTCTCTCTCTCTCTCTCTCTCTCTCTCTCTCTCTCTCTCTCTCGCTCATTCTCTCAAGTAAATAAATAAAATATTTAAAAAATATATTTAAAAAAAAGAATCTGAGTTTTTGGCACTAGAATAGGACCTTAGTAAACATCTGTGGACTAAATGAATGGCTAAGGTTTATCCCAGGAATACTAAAATAGCTTAACATAAACGGATTTTTCTAATGCAATTCACGGATGTAAATATGAAAGGGAAAAATATTACCATCACAATACATGCACAAATCATTACAGAAAATAAAGTGTCTATTCATGATTAAAACCCATAGTAAACTAAGAATAGAAAGGGACCACGCCATCTACCACACAGATTCACCAAGTCAATTTCATCATACCTAGTGATAAAATGCTAGAAACATTTCAAGATTAGGAACAAGAATAAAACTCAATCATATCATTTACATTAACTGAAAACAGACTAAAAATTTTAATTAAAATGCAGATTTTCAGAATGTATTCTGAAAAACTCCACCCAGTATATGCTTTTAAAAATTTATATGTAAGGCATACATTAATACTAAGAAGACAGAAAGAGATATGTGAGGCCAAACAGTACTGTCAAAAATGTTTTCTGACGAAGATACTGTGTATTTCAATGGAAGAAACGGCACTCTTTTAAACTAATGGTGATGGAACTAGTGGATATTCTTACAGAAAAAATAAAATAAAATTTAACTCCTATCTCACTCCAAACACAGAAAATGAATTTCATCTAAATATAAAAGCTAAAACTATGTAACTCCTAGAAAATAAACATAGGAAAAAACAACCTCAAGATAAGCCAAGATTTCTTAAGAAGCAAACAACACTAACCATTAAAGAAAAAAATGCAATAAACTGAAGTTCATTACAATTAAAATTTTCTGTTCTTGAAAAGACACTATTAAGAAAATGAAAAGGCAAATTTCTGATTGGGAGCAAGCGTTCACAAATTCACAAGGCATAAATAAGAAAGGTCTTATTTCCAGAATCTATAAAGAACTCTGTAAATTCAACAATACAACAAACAGCTTGATTTTTTATAATGACAAAAAATTAGAAGACACACACACACACACAAAATTAGAAGACACCTTCCAAAGGAACATGTATGAATGACCAAAAAGCAAATGAAAAGGTACTTAACATTATTAATCCAGGAAATGCAAATTAAAACGACAATGAGGCTTTGTACCTTTACAGAATTAGGTAATTAAAAGAAATGAAAATGTATGTCTACCAAAAGACTTATATGACAATGCTATAGCAACTTTATTCCTAATAATCAAGTTCTAGAAACCAACAAAATATCCAGCAACAGAATGGATGGATGAATTGTATATTCATACAGTAGAAAACTACTCAGTGAGAAAAAAAATGGGACTACTGACATGTGCAATGACAGAGATCAAACAGGAATCTCAGAAGCAGTTTTGAAGGAAAGCAGCCAGAATTTAAAAAGTATATACTCTATGAATCCATTTATATATAGTTCATGAAACGGCAAAACTAATCTTTGTTGAATGAAATCAGAAGAGTGGCCGCTTTTGCTTTTAGGAGAGGCAAGTTGGTGATAAAGTTCAGCAGCCAAAGACCATTGGGGAACAAACCAGTCAGATTTCTTCACTTGCTTAAACAAGGGAGAGTAATCTAGGGAAAACTGTGAAGGGGCCCCTTGATAAGAGGAGGTGGGAACTTTGTCTTGTTTTTGTTTTGTGTAAGTTTGGGGTGGTGGATAACCCTGCATGGTGGACTAGAATTGTAGATACTTACCTCAATGTATGATTTGAGAAGGAGAGGGAGACACAGAGAAAAAAAAAAAAAAAAAAGAAAAAACTATCAAGTATCATCCCCGATTTTACAATTGATAAAGTTCAGACGAAACGATGCTACTCTGGTGAAGAAGCTAGGATTTGAATTCAGTTCTCATGCCAAATCCCAAACTGCCAGATCTACACTTGTCCGATTTAAGGAAAAGGAAGATAAACATCAATCTACCTCGGAGCGGCTCCGTGTAGTAAAAGCTTCAGGATTTGAATATCTAATTCACTCTATTTGAAATGGCAGTCACAAGGGAATAACTAAAGGGGGCCACAAATAAGAGAACATTTCTCCTAAAAGTCTTTTTTTTTTTTTCTTATTTATTCATGAGAGACACACAGAGAGAGGCAGAGACACCGGCAGGGGGAGAAGCAGGCTTCCTGCAGTGAGCCTGAAGCGGGCCTCGATCCCAGGACCCCGGGATCGTGACCTGAGCCAAAGGCAGATGCACAGGGCAGCCCGGGTGGCTCAGCGGTTTAGCGCCACCTTCAGCCCAGAGCGTGATCCTGGAGTCCTGGGATCGAGTCCCACGTCGGGCTCCCTGCATGGAGCCTGCTTCTCCCTCTGCCTGTGTCTCTGCCTCTTTCTCTGTGCTTGCTTCCCGTGAATAAATAAAATAAAATCTTAAAAAAAAAAAAAAAAAGGCAGATGCACCACCACGGAACCACCCAGGTGCCCCTCTCCTGAAATTTCTTGTAGTAACAAGTTAAACGTTTGTTGACTTCTCATTGGAACGCGGAATGCGAATACCACAATGAGCTCCAATAAGAAGCCTGCAACCTCGGTTAGTCGTTCAGTGAATGTGTCAGTTTTTCTGCAGAAAACAGCGTGGATGGGGGCGGAGGGTGGGGGACAACCTAACCGAGTTCATGTACAAAATAGGAAGCTCACAGTGGAACTTAACCCTCTGAGGAGAAGCCCAGAAAGAAGCAGGCAAGGTTCGTTCGTTTGTTTGTTTGTTTGTTTTCTGCTGTTTTAGGAAAAGCCGGGCACTGTTAACGTTACATCAGTGCTCCTCAACCTTTGGGGTATTCGGAGTCCTGGGAGGCGTGTTAAAAGAGAAGTTCTGAGTCAGCGGGTCTGGTGTGGGGCTGAGACCTGCATTTCTTAAAAACAACAAAACAAAACAAAACCTCCCAGGTGATGCCGAGATGGCCAGTCGAGGAGGGAATAAAAGCACGAGGGTGCGGGAGGAGAAGCTCCACTTTGAGCAAATGACAGGCTCTAAGCAACCGGGAAGAAAGTCACAGCTCGTCCCTCCGAGGGGGGCGGAGGCTGCGGGACCAGCAGCGACCCCGGCTAACGCCCTGTGCCCCGGGGCCCACACGCCCAGCGCCGGCCTTACCCGAGGATGAGCAGCGCGCTCTGCAGCCGTCTCCGCACCTCCAGGAACACGCGCGTCCCCGCCGCAGCCGCCCCCATGGCGGGCGCCCAGCCGCAGGTGCTGGGGACGAGCGGCCACCACGGCCGGAGCGGCGGCACGTGCGGCGGCGGCACGTGCGGCGGCGGCGGCGGCGGCGGGGCGGACCTCCCGCCCGGATCCCTGCGCCGACACAGCCCGCCAGCCCACAGCGCCACCTGCCGGGCGGAGAACGCGCAGCCGCCGGGACTCCGCCTGGGGGCGTGAGCGTTTCCGGATGCTGGCCTAGGTCCGAGGGCTGACAAAGGTGGGCAGGGAGAGCCCAACCGCCCTCCCGCTCTTCTTCTTGTGGGCGGGGCCCGATGCGCGGCTCTCCCAGGATCCGACCTTAAAAACCTGAGCCGAGTACACCCCTTTGACTAGCGTGGGTGGGAATGAGGCTGGAAGAGCGCGGGATGAAGGATGCAGGAGATGCAGGCGGGCGCTGACCTCCCAGGAGGCTCGAGAGCCGATTTCTCCACCCCAAAACACAATCTTGTTTCGTTTCCTAATAAACGACAGTATCTTCTGGATGCACTGTGGTCAGTCCCTTGGTAGTTCTCCTCTGAGGCAACGAACGTCCAGGATTGACCTGGCATTGCTTCTGGGTTCAGACGCAATGGCTCTAAGGCGGAAACAGGTGCAAAAATGTAAGAGGTTTTGTTAGCAATATGGAAGAGCAAGTAGTTAAGTCCAATATCGTGAATCACAGGATTAGCCGTTCCTATCCTCTTTGAGAAAAGGAAAATGAGAATGACTCCACAGGTACATTTCCGCTCTCCACGTTTTGTAGAGGTCGACACTGATTCACAGGGGTCCTGGTCTTATTACTGCTAGAAGATAATTTTGGAAAGTTTTACCTCTGCTGTAAGGCCTGCTTCCCCCTCTGCCTGTGTCTCTCATGAATAAAAATAAAATCTTAAAAAAAAAAAAAAGCTGTTCTGGACTCCTAGCATTCTTTCCAACTCTCCATACTTAAGATAGAGGGAAATGCTTAAAAATGGGGAGATATTAAAATGTAAGGCAGGGTGGTAAACTTATAGTAAGAATTCTTTAAAAACAAGAGGCTGGGGGCACCTGGCTGGCTTGGTGGGGGGAGCATTGGAGGCTTGATGTTACCCCGACCAAATTGGGTGTAGAGATCACTTACAAGTGAAACCTTAAACAAAAACCAAGAGGCTGTTAGGTTTTAAAAACAAACAATGATGGCTTGTATTCAGAAAATCGTGCCCATTGATAGCTTCTTAATTCGAAGATTTTCCAAATAATAAATTCACTTCCCTAGAGATCCTATTTTAAGAGATCTTCTAAGGTCAGTATTTGCAGTTTTAAAGTTTATTATGGTGCTTCACAAATTCCCGTATCCACCGCAATAATTCCAAATCATGGTTGGAGGTAGCAACACAATTAAGAGAATCAAGTTTACTACTACTTTCCTACCTCAAATAACGGTGATCATGGGTGATGGTTTCAACCCCTAACCTCTTCCACCTTTAGTTCTCAAGCCTATTAAATCTCAAATGCTGCCACATTGTATTGAAATCTTTAACAGTCTTAGCGCAGCATGCTTTTCATACTTGATGTCTGATTATCTTTAAAGATTGCTTTATTGTACAGTCACAGATTTGTAAAAATCAAACAAACAAACAAACAAACAAAAAAACCTTTTTGTTTCTTTGACCCTACAGTTTAGGCAAAAACAGGGCAATCCTCCCTGCAGCAACTACATGATTTAAAGAGAACATAAAGTTAAAATGTTTCCAAATCTGATAACTATATATCTCCTAACTTCAGTGTTCCAATTTCTCTGAGCCTCAAGTTCCTCATATGAAATATTGAGGGATCGTTTAACACTTAAAGGATTGTTTAAATAATAGATAAAAGCTGTTCTCGGGCAGCCCTGGTGGCTCAGGGGTTTAGCGCCGGGCGTGATCCTGGGGACCCGGAATCGAGTCCCACGTCGGGCTCCCTGCGTGGGGCCTGCTTCTCCCTGTGCCTGTGTCTCTCATGAATAAATAAAAATAAAATCTTTTTTTTTAAAAAAAAGAAAGAAAGAAAGAAAAAAGCTGTTCTCAATTCCTAGCATTCTTTCCAACTCTCCATCAAGACGTGGCTGGCCCCTGCGAGTTGGAAACCCCTGCTCTTCCGTTTGGAGGCCCATCCCCCTTAGTCGGTGGCCTCGGGCCGCTTCCCCGGCCGTGCGCTTGAGGGCGCTGTGGCGACGGCCAGCGCCTGGAGGCGAGGCGCCGACCGGGGGGCGGAGACCCGGGGCCGTCGACGTCGACGCCGGCGTGGGCGCGGGCGCAGTGCACGCTGGGAGCTGTCACTAGGCCCTTCGGCTCCCGGCCTCCGCGTCGCTGCCGCGGTTGCCAGGAGAGCGGCGCCGGCGGGGAGCGGCCGAGCCCACGGCAGGTAACAGCGTCCCCGCCCCCAGCGCGGTCGCGAGGCCAGCTGCGGGTCCTGAGCTGCGCCCGCGGCCAGGCTGGTTGCGGAGCCACGGGGACGCCCCGCGGGGCAGGCTGCTGCGGCGTCGGGGGTGTTGCCGCCCTGGCCCCGCCTGGATCCTGAAACCCGGCTGGCCGCCCTCGGGTTTCCGGAGAGGCGGGCGCCGCGCGGGGCTCGGCGGGCGGGGGCCGGGGCCGGGGCCGGGGCCGGGGCTGGGCGGAGGCTCGCGGGCGGCCCCGGGCACGGGCGGCCGCTCCCGAGCCCTCTGCGCTGGGGCCCCGCGGCGCGCGAGGTTGGGGTGGAGGTCGCACCTGTGCGGTAACGGCGCGCGGAGTAACCCCTTTGTTGGTGGAATCCGGGATTCGTGCGGTCTCGCTCAGCCGGGGGCCCTCCTGCGATGGAGGAGACGCGGATGCCGGCCGTGGTTGAGGGTCCGCGTTGGGGGACTGGGAGGGAGCGCACAAGTTCATTAGAGGAAGTCAGGTTAGTCCTGCGGAAGTTGTTGACCGCGATCACCTTTGATTCTCCAGCCTTTTACAGTTGCAGCCTAACCATAGTTACTTGTCGGGTCTCTCGCATTCTTCCCCCGTCCCCTGAGGGGGGAGGGGGTGGGGGTGGGGGTGGGGGGTGGTATACCACTGCTTTAAAAACGGAAAGAACTGCGTCTCTTACGCTGCCTTCTAGTTCTGTGGAGTTTGGGGAATAGATTTTGCGATCATCCGCTTTGGAGAGTGTAGTTAGAGCAATCAAAACAGGGTTTTTTTTTTTTTTTTTTTTTTTTTTTTTGAGAATTACGAAAGAAAATAAGGAAACTAAGCGTTTGCCTGACAAGCCCAGAGCTGTGGAAAGACATAAATTTCTCAATTTTCGGTGTTCCTGGCTTTCTTCTACGCAGACAGACCTCGTGTGTTATCAATGGATAGTGTATGTCGACGTTGTACGCGAAGAAATTCACCGTCTGGTAAACACAGGGATTGAGCTGAGCCGACAGAAGTGGCCACAAGGGCAAATTAAAACCAGTTTCAGGTCAAATGCTTTATTTCAGGGAGTAAGCCGCCACTCTGAAGAAATTCCTCTCCACCACTAAACAATTGTAAATCTCTAGGTGATTCTAATCGTGAAGAACCCCGGTCTTGAAGGAAGAATTAAAAATACCTGAGTTAATACACGCACCAGAAAATGTGACACCATAACCAAAGTGTTAGGTGTGAATTCCACGTCTGACTCTATATACCGTTTAGAGAGTCTTACTTTGTTGCTAAAGTAGTAGAAAGAGCTCCGGCCTGCGAATGAGAGATTTTGTTCACATTCTTTGTCCTCCAGCTGACCAGATGTGCTCCAAAGTCTCTAGTCATCTGTTTAAAGGAATTTCATGAGATCAGGATTTTCCAAACCAGTGTTTCACCTGAACACTTCTCAATCCAGTAACAGCCTTACTGCCCCAGCAGTGTTCCATGACAAATAATTTAGGAGCACATTGGGTTAAATCATGCCCTACCTAGCCAGAAAGCCTATATTCTCAAGGCCAACATGTTAACATCTAGAATACAATTACATAGGATACCAGTCTGGAAACTACTGTACAGATCTTTCTCAATTTATGATGGGGTGTGTGTGTGTGTGTGTGTGTTTGCAGAAGTACACAACTTTAATAATGATAGATGAACGGAAACAAAAAGACGGATATAACACAGTAGGACAGGGGTGAGGTAGGGATGGAAGGGACAGAGGGATCACAGCAGCCAACGGGTGATTCTTTTGATGCCCTGAGGTCATGAGACACTTGACTCATGTCATCAATAACTGCATGTTGAGTGAACCACCAACTCTGGAAGGCAAGTAGTGGTACTATTGCTGAGCTTAGAACTGGGGCAGGGGTCCTCTCTGTCACGGAGTGGTTTTTGTTTTGTTTTTGTTTTTTTTACAGAGTGTTTGTTAATTCTCAAGATCGTCTGGGCTCCTGAGTGTTAGGTCAGCGTTGTAACATCAGGAGATGGCCTCTTGAGCACAAGTTCCCTAACAGGAGGTGGAGAAACAGGTCCGTCCCCCCCCCCCCCCACTCAGAGTAACCAGGATATATCCTGATAACCCCACCATAAATTTAAAATGTCAAAATTCGGAAAGGCATTTACTATATCTAACTTAATGTTAAACATGTGCACATTACTTACATTAGCCGTCAGTTGGGCAGAATCATCTGTCAAAGGTCATTTTACTATAAAAGTTTCGAATATCTCATATGACTTACTGAATACTATACTGAAGAAAAACAGAATGATTGTGTGGATAAGGAATGGTTGTAAATGTATCAGTTGTTTACCCTCATGATTGCAGAGCTGACTAGTTGCTGAGGCTTATGGCCACTGGGAAAAAAGGGTAAATTGAACTCTCATGAGTTAGACTGCCTGTGCTTGAGCTGGGTCTCCGTTCAGCTCTAAAACTCCCTACCTTACGCTTTTTAGCTCTCAGTTTAAGCTTTCTGGGGCATAAAGATCTAGTGGCAATTCACTGGTATAACAAAAGGCTTGTATTTTCCTTATTAAAATATTAAGGATGCACATAGGTTTCAGTGAACTTTAGTGCTTTTATTTATGGCTGAAGAAGACTTTTTTTTTTTTTTCTGGTCTCTTGATGCTTTTTCTATAACCATAATTTACA